GTCTTGTTTTACCCTAAACAGCCACAATTCCTTGATAGTGTTTCACCATGCTTTGCTGCTGGCTTTGTAATCATGGGTTAATTAGGGTGAAAGAAACCACAGACCTGGGTTTGAACATAAAGCTAAGCTATCTCCTTCACCGTTTGTTTACCTGCTCACATGAAGGGAGGAGCAAAGTGTTTGGGCTACATGTGCCAGTACACGGCTTGCACAGAGTAAGTTTTATTAAGCCAAGGTTTATAGCTTAGTAGCATTTCGTGCAAACACAACCAATGTTTCAAACACTTTTTACATTCCTGGGGTTTTTGTCAAACACAAGAAGTTCTGTTTTCATTAAGCATTAAGCATCTTAACTTCACTCTGAGCTAAAGCAAGGAAATAAGCTGTATAATATTGAAAGCTTTGGTATTACAGCTCAGTGTGGTTTCTTCGCTTTCCCCCGCTCCTTCTTGTTTCAAGAACATATTGTTCTCCCCCACACAAAAAATGGCTCTTTCCTCCTGGCTGGCTTTAATGATAAATAATATCTAATGTTATCACAATGCTCCAGGCTAATATCTAATAACTCAGAATCTTATCTAGTTCCCTAGAGCTAAAGACAAAATTCATATCAAAATTGTGTTTGATGAACTTCCCTTCTTTCTTTGGGAAATATCCATAAGCAATTTACCCGTTTCCTGTCAGTTAAATGCCTGCAAATTACCTTTGGCTCATGAGCAGGATTTATCCATTTCAAATTGCACTCGTTCTTCTTTTTGTTTGGTATTTTTAATCACATACGCCATTGTTTCACAATCAGGGGACCAGGCATGGGAACCTGCCACCCTCCAGATGTTGTTGGAGTTATAGTCCAGCAACATCTGGGGGGTGCAGGATCCTCGCCCCTGCAGTGGAACCTGGTATTTCTCCACAGCACCATGAGAAATGTTGTTTATTTGATTTATCTACAATATTTATATACCACTGTTCATCAAAAATTGATTCCAGAGTGGTTCATAATGATAAAAATCATGGACCACCTGCTGCCAGGTAAGCACATGTCCAAGACAAAGAACAGATATGAGGAATAGCTGAGGGAGTTGGGTATGTTGAGCCTGAAGAAGAGAGGCTGACTGAGAGAAGATATGATAGCCATCTTCAGATATCTGAAGGACTGTCAAATGGAAGAGGGAGCAAGCTCGTTTCCCCCTGCTCTGGAGGGTAGGACTTAAACCAATAGCTTCAAGTTACAAGAAAGGAGATTCCGACTAAATATCAGGAAGAACTTTCTGCCAGAAATAGATGTTTGACAGTGGAACGGACTACCTCTGGAGGTTGTGGGATCTCCTTCCTTGGAGGTTTCCAAGCAGAGTTTGGATGGCCGTCTGTCATGGATTATCTAATTGAGAATTGTGGACACCGGGGGTGGGGAGACTCTTTTCCCAGATCCAGCTCTGATTGCAATGACATCAGTCTTGCAAGCCCCAAAGTTTATCCCGAGCTGGTGGGGTTCAAGCTTGGTGCCGAAAGAATGAATCCAGGCTGCAGCGGGCTAAGGAGGCCTGAGTAAATGTAAGGCTGGGCCAAGCAAAAGTGCTCAAGCGGAGTCAGGATGGCCAGATGCCAATGAGGACACAGCTCTTATGTAACAAACACTACAGTCCTCTCCCACAAATAGCCTTACTGAATATTTACAATGACTTAAAGTAATACTCAAAAGCTTTGTTACTATTGTTATGAGTTTGTGATGGGTAGGATATGTGCCTGAGCCCCCTTCTAATACCTGGATCCAGCACAATTCCTAGAAAAGCCAGGCTAGCTTCCTGGTGAGGTAATGGCCCCCCAAGTATGGGCTATTAAGGTAACAAAGGAAGTGGCTCTGTGCCCTCTTCTTGATGAGCTGCCACCTGCCAAAACTGCCTCTTCTATGCAACTTTTAAAGGTGTGGCAACCTTATCCTCTTCTGTATCTGATTGTTTTATGTGGGCATGTTCGTTTTAACTATTTTTCAATTGATAATGGAATAGATATTTGTATAAACCACTCAGAGGTTTTTACTGCGGTCAAGCAGTGTATAAATTTTGTTAAATAAATAAATGTTGGGAGGGTAGGGAGCATCTAGGACAAGGAAGAACACTGGTAGCTAGTTCATAGAACCATAGAATTGTAGTGTTGGGAGGGACCCTGCTATGCAGAAGTCTCAACACATGGTCCCCCATCCAATTTGAAACCATACAGGTCCCTGATTAGATTTGCAAATATGTTAGCAGTGGACAAAGATGGCTGTGACATCTGGGCAATTACTTACCTTTTGAAATGTTCCTGCAGAGGATGTGTTGTGTGAACCAAACCAACACCACTACGCTGCCATGTTTTCTATCTATGAGTAGGAATGGAGGAGAAATTCCACTCAGTTCACTCCTAAAGGCAAACTATGGTCCGCAGGCTGGATATGGCCCAAGGGGGTTGTTAAACCGGCCCCTGGCCCTTGCTGCCCACTCAGTCAGTCCCCGCATGGAGCTAAACCACCATGGCAGCTCCACTCGGGGACTGATTTCCAGGACGCAGCCACAGCTTCCAATAGGAAGCTGCAGACGCCTCCCCCCCCCCCCATGGCTCCAAAAGCCGATGGGGAAAGAGCGGTGAGCATGTGCACATGTGCACTGGTGTGCGCATTCCCATGAGGGTGCCCACACGCTCCCACGTGTGGGCGATCCAGCCCACCGGTGGAAAAGTTTGCCAGCCCCTGCTATACTTTCTGGAGTGGGGAATACATGAACTGAAACTCAGCCATCCTTCAAAATTCACACTTCTTCAAATTTTGCAGTGCAGTACCCCAGCCAAGTAAAGTGTACAATAATGCACATACTAAGATAAAGTATGCACGACAATGTGCATAACAGTGAACATAACATACGAAAATGCACTATATAAGGGGCAATTGCTTTTTTAAAAAATAATGGGCACCTGAGAGCCAGCGTGGTGTAGTGGTTAAGAGCAGTGGACTCATAATCTGGTGAACTGGGTTCGCCTCTGCTCCTCCACATGCAGCTGCTGGGTGACCTTGGTCTAGTCACACTTCTTTGAAGTCTCTCAGCCTCACTCACCTCACAGAGTGTTTGTTGTGGGGGAGGAAGGGAAAGGAGAATGTTAGCCACTTTGAGACTCCTTAATGGGAGTGAAAGGCAGGATATCAAGTCCAAACTATATGAGGGAGGAAATGCATGCAGAAATTTGTATATTGGGAGACATTGGCATGAAACTGCTAGTGAAATTTCATGCAGTCTTGAAAAAACCAATCAAACTGATAGAGAACTCAAGACTGGAAGCATGAAAGACTGAAATGGACAGATTTGCCCATCCCTGTGAGAGAGGGGAAAGTGTTTCTGGTCTCTCTAGTCAAAGTAATGAAGAGCATTAGTACTTTCAGTTCATAGCATGAATACTTCGCATGAACGCTGAGCAAGCATGCATACCATGCCAGATGCACCTAATCCCAAAATGGTTGTGTGGTGGCCACAGGTTGCTGCCACCGTCCTGGTTGCTGCCCTGCTAAGAAGCCTTCCTAGCAAGTGAAATCTATTGGACTCAATGACAATTTGCTTTGGCATGAACACGGATAGGATTGTTCTGTACAATGTTTTCAGGTGTTGAGAAGGACACATATGTGAAAAGGGTTGGAGGATAACACTGGCCAATGTGTAGAGATGCTGTCACATTAGGCAGAGCACCTCTTAAGCAAATGCTTAACTTAAAAGGGAGATCATAATCCCATTATCTTCAAGGAAGCTCCTTTGTGCTTAAAGGTACATTACATACACAGCTGTTTTGTTCCTTTCCTCCCCCCCTCCCTTTTTTTAGTGGCTCCTCTTGCAGGGCCGAGTCCCATTCAAGTCACCTTTCCTTCTCCATTTAGCTTTAACGTGGCAGTGTGACATGCCAGCTCGAAATAGATCCTGAGTGAGGGAAGCTGCTCTTTTCATGGTCACCAGGCAACCATAAACAACCTGGCTGCTTCTTGTTGATTATTCTGGTGAGAAAAACCAATCTTCTCCTTCTCATTTTCATTCCGGAGAATGCTGAATTCAAAGTGATGATGCTGAAACTGTCATCTCACAAAATAGCTCCACAGATACCTTAAAACAAAACAGCATCAAAGCATCAGCTTGTAAATACCTTTAACCTCTCTGTGGAATAAAAATCACCTCTTTTGTAAGCTATAATTCATCCCTTTGGCCTAAAAGCACTGGAAAAAAACCCTCCTAATCAGTCTCCTTTCTCACACTCCTTTATGCCACAGCAACTGCTTTGTATTCTTTCTTTTTTTAATGGAGCTGCTAATTAATTTTAAGCCTCTTTGTGTGAAAGCCTAAGAGAGCTGGATTTACCTAGTACTAGGGAGCCATCTGGTGCAAAAAGACTATTTCCTTGCCAAGCTATTCCTACTTACCTGAGGGGCAGATAGGAAGAGATGGGGGTTCTTTAAATCATGGGCAATATCCACTTGTCTTATTTTTTGTAATAATTAGGGTTGTTAGGTTGAGGCCTGAATAATGTAGGTTCTGGGGTAGATTGCTCTAGACTGGAGCCACTTGGATAGGCAGATGTTCTGAGGGCTTCATAGTACAGTGGTGGCTAGGTCATATCCTGCCAAACCTCTACAGATGTCAGATCAGTGCTTTGATCTAGTAATGTGATGGACAGCGGGTGATAAACTGAAGTTGTATCTTGACAGGGTGAAGACACTGTGCATAAGTGGTACCGATGTTTGGGAATTAGGTACATGTCCTGTTCTGGATTGAATTGCACTCCCCTTGAAAGAGCCAGTTTTGGAGATTTGAGGAGAAATATCAGATCTCCATAGGACAGAAATCACAGCATGGTGCTTATTTTTTTGTAAAAAGTTGCTCTTACAGCCCTCATTAGTGATACCATTATCCAAATGTAGAAAAAACAATAACACCAACTGTAAATCTCCATATTAGCTCAATATTTTATTTTATTTTTCTTCTGTCTTTCAGCAACGAATAAACCATCAGATAAGTCCTTGCCAGAAGGCAGCCTTTGAAGGAGTCAAGAGCAGGTAGGGATTTCATCGAGCGCGACATCAAAGTGACAGGTTCACTTGTGTGTTTTATGATGACATGGGGGGCTCAAGAACTTCTTTGTCCTGTCATACTGTTTAATTTCCCATCATGATTTAGCCTGCAAGGTTTACCATTTTAGAATCGAGATAAAGGGCTGCTTACTAGCCTAATGGGAATTTTTAGCAAAAACATTTTTTATCATTTTGAAGATACCTGTTACAGAAGGTGAGTTGGGAAAGCTCTCATTCATATTTCAAAGTGCACTGAGTCATTAACTTTGTGTATTTGGGTTTGATGTGGACACAAGAGACAATGTCGGGTTGAGGGCCTAGATGCTGAACCACAGCATGATCTCTTACTAGGAGCTTCAAAGAGGAGTTCAAGGTGAGACCCTCATATGCCAGGTTCTTCTTTCTCCCAACATCATGCTGGTTATCTGGACAATTTCATTATCATTATCACCAAAAGGTGAAAACCCACATCAATGCATGCAGCTGATTTTGCTTGTTCCCTTAATAGATGGGGGCTTGCTGTGCCTGCGCTCATTGCTCCCTCCTAACTATAAAGCCAGCCCCCCGCTTACACATTAGACTAGATTCTGTATTGTGTGAATGGACCGCTATATTCTTAGTGGTGCCCTTGGATGAAACTGTACCATGCAGAAGAAACTGTGCCATGTCTATTTATAGCCTGCAAAGCTAGATTCCTATGATCAGCATTCAGTTAGGAAAAACAAGTTTCTAGCCCTCACAGTTGTGGAAGAACCTACTCACACATCACAGTCACAATGCAGAGCCTTTATATGGTAACAGGTAGGTAGGGATGGGGGAATAGATGAGCATCATGAAAGACTGTACATTGGGTGATTGTAGTTAAAGCTGTTCCGTGGCACAGCAAATACTTCTCCCAGCTCCTTCAAGAGTCAGTCGCAAAAGTAGAGGATTTTCCAGGTTTAGTTATCCAGTTTCCTAGCTGGTGACATACCACAGCTTTAGATTCAGTGTGGCAAAATTATATTTTGGCTGTTCCTGTTATGGTAGGGCAGAATCAATGAGCTCAGTTACTCTGAGGTAAAAAGAGAGATGAGGCCCTCATTATTCAGGGGATCTCACACTCAGTTAGCTTTAATTCACTTCTGTGTCAGATTTGTCTATTAATTCCACAGCAAACTGAATCAGACAGCCAAACAAGACACAGCAATGCACATTTAAAAAGTTTTTCACCTCAGGATATGTGCTCATGTAACTAACTCTAGCTCTGTAGTAACCCCTCAAAGTAAGAGACAACTATTTGACTTGAATCTTGCAAGTAGTTTCTATCCTTGTGGGTTAAATGCTGCTTAGGCCATCTGGCCATCTTTTAAGTCTAAGGTTCCTGGATTTCCTAAAGCCCAACCAGCTGTATGTGTCATTTCAGGAAAGGGGTGTGAAGAGGAATAGGGATAACTAAGAGGTTTATCTGAGTAGTATCATTGAAAGCCACAATAAAAGTAGCTCAGCTAAGATGTACACAAGCATTCAGGAACAATGCCATCTAATCCAAGAGGATGCCAATGTGGTTAATGAGCAGAGTCAAGACAGCTATTAGAGGCAAAAAGTCTTCCTTCAGAAAATGGAAGTCTTGCCCAAATGAGAACAAAAATGAATGCAAAATTTTGCAAATAACTTGCAGGTAGACAATAAGGGCTGCAAAACAAAAAACAAAAAAAACGAAACAAAAAACAACCCTGAGGTTCTAAGACAAACATTCTTTAAATACACTAAAAGCAGGGAACTGGCTAGGGAAGCAATTGGACTTCTGGATGACAAGGGAGTTGAAGGTGTAGTAAAGAAAAAAAAGGCGACCTCAGAGAAGCTGAATGAATTGCATCTGCCTTCACTATAGGTGACAAATTAAAATTAACAAATCACTGGGTATAGATGGCATCCTCCCCACAGTTCATACACATCTGATAAGGGCACCTGGGAGCTCTCCCTGTGGGTCCACAGGTGGGCACAGTTCCCATGGTGATACCGGCTGAGATGACTCTTGGTTAGAAGCTCAGCCTGTGTTTGCCACTCTCAGGATCAGCGTACTTCATGCCAACTTAACTTACCCTGGCGTAACTTATGCCAGCTTTCTGTGCTCAGGATAGCCCAAATGCTATAATTTAATGTGCATTTGTTTACCTGGTTGTGCCATAGCACACGGCTGTTGTGTGTGCCTCTGTTTTAGGCAGAGTGTGTGGTGGGTGTGCCCGGGGCATGTGATGTGTTGTCGGTGCTGGTTAGCTGCTGCAATGGCCATTGCTACAGCTACTGTATAGGGTCTGTACCATTTGTTTGCATTCCTGTACTGGCATGCACCATGGGGGTGGGTGAGGAATGTACCTGGGGTGTTTGTTTGCTTACCACATGCACCTCCTGCATTGGGTCTCCTTCTGCTGGGGTGAGAGGTTCAGCTTCTGTGGAGCAAAGAAAGAGAGGTGTTACTGGATGCTTGATAGTACCACAACCAGGATGCTATAAATTATACTTAATATTTTTACATAAGGGATGGCTTTTCAGGAGCACTCCTCGAGGTGCTAAAATGTGTCAAGGGAACTAGCCCTCAGATAAAAGAGATTTAGGATGTTACCAAATTATCATCAAAGCCCTGAGATAAATTGTGTTAGTGTGGTGGACAAAGGCACAAAAACAACAACCAGGTAATGGTGATTAAAATAAATAGCTTTAAAATACAAGATCATACCATTGCATTCAGTGTATAAAGAACTAGGGAACTGTGGTTGTTTGAGGATAATTAATATGATTAGTACTATGTATGTTGGGAATCAGATTCCTTACCTTCACCATGAATATTTATTGAAAGGGCAGTGGGAGTGAGAAAAAGCACTCTTCTACTACACTTTAACTCACCGCACTTATGAGTTTTGAGAGGGCGGTTAGTAAAAAGAGCTCTTCAGTGAGTAATCCTCATTAATTGTTCTCAAGTAAGGATCCCGGAAGATGCCTTTTCTGATGCAAGTGCTTCTGTTTTCTGTGCCTGCATTAGAACAAACATGACCAGTTGCTTACAACTATTGTAAACTGCCATGGAACACTGTAATTGAAAGGCAGCCTATAAATTGTTGTTATATATTTATACCTTGCACATCTGGCTGGATTTCCCCAGCCACTCTGGGTGGCTTACAGCATATATTGAAACATAATAAAACTTGAAACATTTTAAAACTTCCCAATACAGGGCTGCCTTCAGATGTCTTCTAAAAGTTATGTAGTTCTTTATCTCCTTGACACCTGAAGGGAGGGTGTGCCACTGCCGAGAAGGCCCTCTGCCTGGTTTCCTGTAACTTTGCTTCTTGCAGTGAGGGAACCAGCAGAAGACACTTGGAGGAGGACCTCAGTGTCCGGGCTGAACAATGGGTGTGGAGACGCTCCTTCAGGTATACTGGGCTGAGGCCATTTAGGGCATTAAAGGTCAGCACCAACACTTTGAATTGTGCTCAGAAACGTACTGGGAGCCAATGAAGATTCTTTAGGACCAGTGTTATATGGTCCCGGCGATCACTCCCAGTCATCAGTCTAGCTGCTGCATTCTGGGTTAGTTGTAGTTTCCAAGTCACCTTCAAAGGTATTCCCACATAGAGCGCATTTCAGTAGTCCAAGCAGGAGATAACCAGAGCATGCACCACTCTGGCAAGACAGACTGCAGGCAGGTAGGGTCTCAGCTGGCATACCAGGTGAAGCTGGTAGACAGCTGCCCTGGACACAGAGTTGACCTGAGCGTCCATTGACAGCATGAGTCCAAAATGACTCCCAGGCTGTGCACTTGGTCTTTCAGGGGCGCAGCCTTTCAGGACCAGGGAGTCCTCCATACCTGCCCACCCCCTGTTCCTCCAAAATAGTACTTCTGTCTTGTCAAGATTCATCCTCACTCTGTTAGCCGCCATCCATCCTCCAACCACCTCCAGACACTCACACAGGACCTTCACTGGTTCTGATATGAAGGAGAGGTAGAGCTGGGTATCATCCACATACTGATGAACACCCAGCCCAAACATTTACTACTGTGGATTGAGAAGAGGGAAGGGCACACAAAAGCAGCCAAAGAAGGAATGAATGAATGAGAGCAGATTTGGACACTGTTTTTCTGTGGTTTGCAATTCCATTTAAGGTAAATACTCTGGTAAATGCTACCTGCAAATGTTGTAACAGAGTCCAGTGCAATTTTTACATTGCAATCCCAACCATGTTCACTCAAAGTAATTCCAATTCAGTTCAATGAGACATTCCATCAGGTATGTGAGCACAGGACTGCGATCAATAAAAAATTAATAAAATCAGCTCTGCGACAGAGCGGGCGGGCAAGGAATCAGGCAGGGAGGGAAGTGGTGTGAGAAGGGAGGTTAATTTATCCGTTCCCCCGGTTTTTGTTTCTCTCTTCCTAAAAAAATTCTCTCCAAGCATTTTCTGCCTGCCACACCATCCCTACAGATGAAAGTCTGAATATTTAGAACTCTTCAGGGCAAAAGTCACTTGGAGAAACAATTCTGAGTAAATTACAGTAAGTGGGGGGAAAGGGTTAAGCATCTCCGTCTTCTTCAGTTACTTCTTGATTCTACATTTCCCTCCTCTAAAAACATATTTCTTACCTTCTTTTAAAGTTCCACTACCAAAACCCCATATCTATTTGCCACGCTTAATCCACGCTGTGCCTGTAAACTTCATCCACTTTGGCCAAAAGGGGGAAAGGTTATAAGCTGTTTTTAGATTCCACATTATAATGAAAAGGGAACACAGAGCTTCATTTGGCTTGGAATCTGACACACAGATTGGTGAGAGCACAAAGTGACTGAGAAACATATATGAAAATTTAAAAGCAAACATATACAAGATGGATCTTGGGGTCCATGCACCCCACAAGCTTCAAGCAATATTTGTGATCCTAGGAACTAGAGAAGATGGGGAAAGTGCCCAGCAGTCTTAGAAGTTGCTGCTTGCCAGTAATTGGCAGTCCAC